GCCTTCGCTGATTATATACTAATTTAATTCTAATTTTATAAAGAGATCAGAACTTAAATAAATACTTTTATAAAAAATTATTTAATAAGATTAAAAACTACTTAAATTTGAGTAATTGGATTGAAGAAAACCCTATTATCTGTTATTTTAGTTATTAAATCTGGTCCAGTTATTTTGAAATGTGACATAATCTTAACAGTTAAATACTTTCTATAAAATTAGACCTATAAGGTCTATAAATATATATATTTATATATATGTATTAGTTAGGTGATATATTGAATATAGGACTATAGCATATAGAAAGAAATATTTTTATTTATGGGCCCTTTCCTCAACCTTTATAAATTGTTTCTCAAATCATTCTTTTTGGTTTTTTACAAAGCTTTATTTTATATTTAACAAATAAATAAATCACTTCCTATAAGTTTTTGAATTTGGACTTCTCAAAAGATCAATTAGCCTAATATTTCAAATGAAGAAAATAACATTTTTTTTAATTACTTATTGTAAACCATAAATTTTTCCTTTCTAATTTGCTAACTTACCTCATTTATCCGACCACTACAACCTTGGCCTTAGTTAATTTCCCTTACCAATGTTCTCTCTTATTGTACCAACTCCTACTTGGTTCTATTTAGTTTCAATAACTCATGCATGAGCAATAGAGCGTTAACTATCCATACATAAATTCCCAAATTCTCTCCCAATCCCCCTCCCTAAGTTGAACTAAATTTTAAATTCAATTACACTCCCCACAGGCACAAACAGCCAAACATACCAAGCCTCAAAGTTTCTAACATCCTTTAATATAACAAAACTTAATTATGGGACCTTCTAAATCCCAAATCTTGAAGCAAATGTTGCATTCAAGATCAAGGTTTGGGAGTAGTGTATTTAGTGCTGTACAAGATCAAATTTAAAGAGCTCAAAGCATGGAGTCTTAAAATTGGAGCTGATGGGACTTTGGAGCTATAAGATTAAATCTTATCATAAACCTTATAAACCTTAGAGTAATATAAAACAGGTTTGTGCATTCCAACTGGGAATGAATCTAATATGCAAGTCATCTAATACAACTTCTCTGTTGCAGATGTTCACTCATCCTTTTCTGGAGCATTTGCTTGGATTCTCCAAACTTTGAAAAGCTAAGAAATTTCTTTCAGGGAATTGGTTTTGAAGGTCATGCTTATTTGAAGCAAAAATGATGATTGGAAGTATTCATGTACCTCAAGTGGATTTCTGGTTCAGTTGGAATGCTAGGTTGTAAATTGTCTCTTATGAACTTTGTTTTTTCAAAGTAGTACTTAGTTCCAAAATCTTTTTCTCTTGCTTAACTTTATATTGTTTATGCCCAGGTATGGAGGAGCTTTGTGAGATACTGCCATGGATGGGCTCTTTATAACGCACTTGTGAGAAGCAAAAGCAACATAGGAAAACACGTCTACTGGGAGTTGAGCAGTGTGACTGATGCCATTGTCGACAGTTGCCTCGCTCTGCTCCCAGAAGCTTGCTACGGTCCAGCCGCCTTCCTCACTAGCCTGCTCGATCCAGTCAAGAGCCTGGCACCTAAGGAGCTTCCATCTCGGCTCTAGAACGCCTTGAAAACAATCATCATCTCTCTGCCAAAGAGCTCTATGATTAAATTCCCGGGGCGTGCACGGCGGCGAATCGTCGATGTGGAGCGTGAGGGAGTCGTGGTGGTGGTGGTAGAAGGAGGGGCGGTGGCAGTGGCTGCCACCCGAGTAGAGCACCGTGGTATCGTCGCCCACGCGGACGCGCACCGGGGAGCAGGAGCACGGTGAGCAGTGGGCCGAGGAGATGTGGACGCGGGGGCTGTGGCTGAGGGAGCGGTCAAGTTTGTGGAGATTCCAGGAGCTCTTTTGTAGCAGGAGTTCCCTGAACAAATTGCCAGTGAGCTCTACGATTTCTAGCAAATCTATGAAGAAATTTTTGTGGCACTATTTGGCTCATCTCATTTTGTCAATGGGTTTTTGGATAGTGAGTTCCTGGGAAATAATGAAATGAATTTTTGTATTGTTTGCCTTGATAGCTCACAGGTTAGTAGCAAAAGGACAATATGACCATGGAGACGCTTGCTTCCATATGCTCTAGATATACCAGCACTTCAGAATCGTCCAGAAGCCAATTATCACACATATATCCTCAAGAGATTGTTTCAAGTGCTGCCAAATGCAAACAAGTATGAATTAGTATGAAATCTCATCAATGAGAGAATGCTAGAGCTTTGCAAGCTCGAGGCTGATGAGAAGGAGATCGAGTAGCGATCTGGAAGGACACTTTACATTAATGTGAAGAAAAGAGTTAGAGAAAAAGAAAATAATGGAAAAACAGTTATTGTAAGTTCTATTAGAGGGTGTCATGCATTGGCAAGGCTTATTTTCTTAGAACTTCAAGGTCCTTTCTTGCTTTCTTCTTAGCAGCCAGTGCTTTGAACTGATTGATCAATTTAGCCAGCAGTCTCTCAATCCATTTTCTCAGAAAATATTTATCATATAAATTATTATGTTTTAGTTCTAATTAGTTAAGTAAATATTAGATAAAAGGCACATTCTTTTTTATAAAATCTTGGAATCAGAAACATAAATGCCAAGATCTTATTCAATTTTGAATCCTACATATTATTCACATGATAACATGGTTATTCTCATGTATTGTATCTCTTAGCTTGTTCTATATTATAGTCCACTATCCTATCGATAATCTAAATAACATATAATAATTCTAACATTTTATATATACTGATGTAAAATTTGTAGCATTATTTCTTTATTGAACAATTTTTTTAATCATTTTAAAGCATCTTTGTAAATTTATTTCTAAATTTATTCCAGTGTAGCTGTACTTGGTAAGAAACAATTCTTTAATTAGAAGAATTCTGTCTAAAGTAACCTCACTCCTCTATCACCACTTGAAGCATAAACTGCTCGTTGTATTGCCACAGATTCAGAATGTCGACTTTACACACAGGAGCTCCACAAGTGTCATTGTTGCCCCCATGAGAAATGGAATGATCAAGCCCATAATCAAATGAAATATCAGCTTCAACCTTTTGTTCTTGTTGAGGAAATGAACTGATTGAGCAGTGCATATATTTGGAATGGTGTGAAGTCCAGTATAGATGATCCATGTTAAAATCCAACCCGGCCAATGACCCTTGAGTGAAATTATTGTGGTCCCGACATTCATCCCTCCCACTAAACCTCCAGTAACAAACAAGGTGATGGGTTTGATATCGCTTGTAAAATAAATCCACACAATGTAAAGCATCATATTTATCATGCAAATGATGCTAAACATTCCACTGCTCATCTCCGTGATGAAGCAATACCCATACTTGAGTATAGATCCCTGGAAAAGACATTGAAGCATTAGAAAAAAATTAATTCACACAATTTTACATACCTCATTATAACCATAATAGCAATTGTAAAAGCTATTCTCCTTGAGAATAAGACAGTTAACACATAAGAAACCCGTAAGGATCAAAAGTCCGGCAACAAAGTAATCTCGACATTGACTTAAAAACTTTTTTTGTTGTTCAGTAAACACTCTTTCCTTCTCTTTCCACATATCAAACCTTAACTTGGCTTTTAGCAACTCATAATAATGATCGTTATCTTCCATCCAATCAATCTCTCCTTTCATAGGAAAAACTTTTGATCTGTGAGGTTTCCGAAGACACAACTCTCCATGAGATCTGTGCGGTATGCACGCAACTGAGCTCATATCCTTTAACGCCATCTACTACAATGTAAAATCCTTTACAGAAACCTAGATTTATACAATGAATTATCCTTTTTCCCAAAAAGGAGTGGCGGCACGTGGCAAATTGATCTGGAAGTGAAACAATCCACGGGGGAACACGAACAGCTCGCCGGGATAGATGGTCTAGAGCTGAAACATAGAGAGCTCCCTGGACGAGGAAGAGGAGCTCGGTGACTTGTGGGGGATTGACACCGCCGGGAGCGTAGTCAAGGAGCACAAATGAGATGCCCACAGAGTGTTGAGCTCAGGGAAATTGGCAACGTTTGCAGCGGTGACGGCGGAGGTGAGCCTGTTGCTGGTGTTGCCCGGGTTCCTGAGCAAACCCAACTTGAAGTCCTCGGCTGCCATGGGCTTGCAAACCTTGCCATTGATGGTGATAGTGCTGTTGTTGTCCGCAACACAAACTTCCTGGAGCATGTCCTCATGCAGCGCGAATGAGTGGTTTTTGTGAGCACGCAAAGGCAAAGAGGGTGATGAGAATTGCCAGCATTGTTGCCGCCATGGAATGAGAGAAAAATATCCTTGATATGAGACACTGTTGAGAGGGAAATGGATTGGGCTTATAAAGGGAGTCTAGGACAATCTAGCACCTCTAGACTTGCATGGCCTTTCTCATCCATCGATACATTAGTTCTTCACCATGTAACTATCAAATAACCAGATCTAGCATTCGTGGACAATAGAATTGAAGGAAGGCTGACTGACAAGTAATCACTTTCCATCTAGTTACGACCAAGAAGGCGTTGTATGCATTTAGCTTAAACAATACCAACTAGCTCTGGCCTTTTGCTTTTTCTTGTGGAATTAAGAAAATCAGCTTAAAAACAACTTTGTAGAGCTTGCAATTGCTGTATTATTCGTTGTGCTTTGCCGCAGATTGAAGATGGAGCTCGACTATGGTGATCGGGCACTAAATGTGTGGAATTGCTTGTGATGAAGATGTGTATGCCACAGTCCCAAAACACAAACCTCCACTTGGTTGGCTGACCAAAGCAAAGGACGCTGTGAGAAATAAGAACCAAGCAAGCAACTCGGAATACTTCCGATCCTCGCGCAAAATTTTTTTATCCGGTTTATATTTTTACAGCCGACCCTAATGGGAACCCTAATTTTATTCTTGGCATATACCTTTCATTTCGGGAGGAGGGCGAGAAATGGCGAGGCGCATCGCGAATCCAAGGTACTACCAAGGAGTAGTTGTCGTAGCCGCGGCACCGTCCTTTTGGGAGCTGCTAGTGCTGTGCGTTGTGGTGCTGGGCATGCTCTCGTTCTTGGTGCTCTCGCCGCTCGTTTTCAAGTTCTGGAAGCGCAACACGCAGCAGCCAAAGGGACGACGAGCTTTCGCGCAGCGACGACAATCCACACTCACAGCTTTCGCGCAGCCCAGCAGGGAGTGCTCGTTTTGCTGCATCGACATCAACTTGCTCAAGCTCAAGACAAGTAAGCATTTTCCAGTTTTTTTTATAAAGGGTGTTTAGTTTTGGTGTTGACCTTTATTCCACTTGTTTCTAAACCTCTGTTTACAGTGTCCGGGATTCGGAATATTGACTTTGGCCGGACTCCTGCTGTACGACCATCGAGTAATAACCCAATCTTCTATGCTCCTCGCATCAGTGACTACGAATGTAAGTTTCTTGTTTATCTTCCAGGACCTGGCTGACTTTGATTTGTTTCTTTTTTTTTTTCATAGACCTTCTTGACTACCAACACTCGAGAATGATGCCAGGTGTTGTTCTTGACTTCCAGAGCTCAAGAATGGTGCCAGCGGTTCACAGCGGGTCCCTTGACACTGATCTAGCTGAGCTGCCAAGGAGCGTTGTTCCACAGCCTCCAATCACCTCGGAAGTTCGTTTGCCTTTGACAATGCTCGACTTTGTGATCCCTCCGGCTTTCATGCCTGGTCAGCTGCAGCAAGAGCAAAGCCATCACGACATAACGACTGCCTCCAGCGTGAGCTCTGAGCCGCAGTTACTGCTGGAGATTGACAATGAAGTAAGCCCACTCTGCTTTTCATATTGTCACTAACACACACCTGATGCAGTTTCTCAAGCGCTTGGAGGTCGTCTCTGAGCTCCTTATCGCAAGGTCAATCCAGGAGTCACGCATGGCCATGGCTTGTGTTGGTTATGGCCAGCTACAGTGTTTGCTCATGATCTTGCTTCAGCAGCAGAGTCATGACGATGGTGTGCTCAACACGTCCAATGAGGTAAGCTTTCTCGTCTTTCCAGTCTACTTGGAGTCATTTTCTAATCTCTTTGTCCATGCAGTTTTTACGTACGCTGGTAAAGCACACAAGAGAAGCCAAGTGTACATTCCTCGACCTCAATCAAGACATATCGGTCTCACAACTCTACGGTCAAGACTTTATGCCTCTGCAGCGTCAATCGGTGATGATCAAGGGATTACGGAGCAATGCAATCTTCACGCTCCAGGTGATTAGTGAGCCCGGCTTAATTCCCGGATGTGGTTCGAAGTCCTACAACTCTAGCGTAAGAATACTTTCCATATTCCTTGGCTCAGTGGTTCCAAGTCCAGCATACTCTTTTCCACTAAATGTAAGTCTATCTTCTCCTCGCTCCACACTTAACACTTGGCTTCTATAGGTTGCGTTGCCGGAGCTGGCAAGTGGTGCTCGTTCTGTTCTTCGCATCACCAGCGGCATGGAAGCTCCTCTTCCTGGTCGGCCTGGTGCTCCACTGCTGCTCAACAATCTATGCTGTTCACGCTTTTCTGGTGATCTTTCCTCGTGGACTTGTGTGGAGCTCCAGGTGCCGAGTTATCCATCACTGTTTGAGTTGGCGGTGCTCAAACTCAACGCAGTTATTCCGCAGCCTCCAATCACCCCACTGCTTATCAAGCTAGTCTGCGTCAACTTCCAAGGAGATTACAATACTACTAACTGTAAGCTGTTTATGTTTTTGTTTGCATCATCCTTATCAAGTGTTTTGGTTTGAAGTTCCAGCAATCTGCGAGCGGGAAGTACATCGCGACATTGTGCCTGAGAGAGGAAAACAAGAAGCTCCTTGGTTCCTTGGTGCTCGGCTGCTGCTCAACGATGATGAAAGCCCTCCATGCTCTTTACGGTTTTGTGGCGCTCTTTCCTCCGGGACTTGTGTTGAGCTCCAGGCGCCGATTTATCCATCATTAATCGAGCGAGCGTTACTTTATGAACCATATCGTAAGCGCTGCACTTCAGATTTTCGTTCTTTACGATAATTGACGACAATTGGTTTGCCACTCAGCGTCTTGGACGTTCTGGACGCTCTAACTGAACGATTTCATACTGGCAAACCCCAGCATTTTCTGGTTATCGGGGAGCGGAGAGTCACACTGATGTTTGGGCCCCGGAGGGAGTGCTCGTTTTGTGTCATCGACATCAGCAAGATCACGCTCAATAAAATCATGCCCCTTAGGTTTGTTTTTTACTGTTTTGACAGTGTCGGGGCTTACTTTCCCGTGGCATGGCAGCCTTCGTGCTTTGGAATCAACACTCCCTGATGATCACAATGCTTATACAGATGTAAGTACTCTTCCAAATTCCTTGTGGATTTTAGCTCTGAATTTATGTGTTGATTGAGCAGGAGGTCTTTGACATGTTTATTAATCTTATTCACGCGTCAAAAGGTGGCTGGAAATATTCTAATTTACATGTACGTTTGAATTCAATTTTCATTCGATGCTTTTTGGATCTTTTATATTAATTTGCGAATGCAGGAACTATACGCTGGCTTTAAAGACGCTTGGCTTTTGCGTGGTGGCCAATTTCGGGCTCAGGTACAAGAGCTGCTAAGGCGTGGTGCTCCGCCTTTTATAAACTATGAGTGGGAAAGTCACAACATTCTATCTGAGCTAGAAAAACAAGAAGCGGCCAGCTTGGATGATCAGTCAGACGACGGTGCTGTTTTGCCACCATCCATCCATCAACTTGGAAGCTCTGGCAACTTCTTGGAGGTGATACCGATTGCGGCGGATTGCTCCTTCGAGGATTTGGAGCTCCAAGTTCGTGGTTCAAGACGATCCTGTAGCTCCCACGTAAGTATTCTTTCCGTTTCTCATGGATGTTATACCTGAATATAAGTTATGCAGTTCTCGGATGCCATCTTCAAAGACGCAGGAGGAGATTTGATGCGGCACGAGCCAGCTGGAGACCTGGAGGATGGCTGGGAAGAATTGCCGATGGATGAAGGATGGAGCGACTTTTCCGAATTGGTGAGCGATGAGCAAGGAGTTAGTGCTGTTTTTGTGGAGATCCGTGAAGCTGATCAACCTGGGAGCTCAGAGAACGAGGGTGATTTGACGCCTTATGCAGCAGCAGAACTGCTAGATGCAGTACCAGCGACAATGTTAACAACCTTGACATTCATGGGCGACATAGCGACACCATTGTTTTGTGCCACTGGTAAGTGTTTTTTTTTTTTTTCCTCTGTTGTTTCTCTTCTCCTTTCAACAGTCACTGACACGAACACTTGAACAGGTATAGAGAAGGCGATAAGTGGTGCTATCAGAATAAAACAGAAGGTGTGCTAGCCATTTTCAGCGTATGCAGCACCTATACAGCGACAAGGACGATTTTGTCAGCTTGATGGTTGAACGAGCGAGCTCTCGGCGCTCTCACTTTCACAGATAATTGAAGTTGACACGATGACGATCAGTATGGAGGCACAATTCTATTTTCCTCACGTTGGGCTCCACATGGAGCGGCTCAAAGATTATCACGGTCAAATGAAACACAGCTGCTTGGAAACACAAGAGCATAACTTGAAGAAGAAGAAGATAATGTAATCTATAAAGTGGGCAACAACAGCAAAGCATCTTCTGCTTGGAGTTACGCGCGGCTGGACGAGGCTCAGGTGGCTCTCGGAAGTTTTAGCATGGATGGCGAGCGTTGATCCAGACTTCAGCAAGTTGGCTTTTTCCACACAATTGTGCAACAGCAGGGATTGCAAGCCGGTATTTGTGAGAACTCAATACTTGCATTTCTTGCTAAGACTGAGGGAAACGTCTGAAAGGCAAGAGCATTGCAGCATCAACCAAACACAAGGCAAATGCTGCAGGACGCCATGTAGTCGCCAGCTGAGGCATACATATCTAAGAAACGGCCTGGTTTGATTCATCTCCTCCTGCAAGAGACACATTTAGTCCCGAGCTCCATCTTCGATCCGCGCCACAACGAAGAAGAATCCTACCTAAAGTCTCAAAATCCAGACAGCGCCTTGAACCAGAGCGTACCAAATCCATGCTGCGCAATACGCCGGGCTGCACATTAAGACTTGCAAGAGCCTAGTTTTGCAAGTAACCATGAGATTCTCTTTAGCTCCAAAATAAACGCGACTCGTCCTTAGCCCTGTGTTTTCCCTTCCCTGATAGTTTTCCTTTGTTGTGCATAAAACGCGCTCGTTTTATATTTTCCACGAATGCGAAAATCTCCCGCAACTAATTACCTGTAAGTAAGAGCCAATTCCGTAACTTACCTGGAAGTAAGAGCGAAAACTCCGTGTCGCTTTGTTCATCTTCCAGTTCTTTCCCAAGCCCCATGCATCGATGGCATGCAAGTCTAGAGGTGCTAGATCGTCCCAAAACCTCTTTATAAACCCCACCCCATTTCCCTCTCCGACAGTGCCTTCGGTCAAGGGTAGTTCTTCATCGTTTCTCTCATTCCATGGCAGCAACAATGCTGGCAATTCTCATCTCCATCTTTGTCTTTGCGTGCTCGCCACCCCCACTCGTCCTTGCTGCCGATGAGGACATGCTCCAGGACGTTTGCGTCGCAGACAACAACAGCACTATCATCATCAATGGCAAGGTGTGCAAGCCCATGGCAGCGGTGGTGGCCGAGGACTTCAAGTCGGGCTTGCTCAGGAACCCGGGCAACACCAGCAACAGGCTCGGCTCCGCCGTCACCGCTGCAAACGTTGGCAATTTCCCTGGACTCAACACTCTGGGCGTCTCGTTTGCGCGCCTCGACTTCGCCCCCGGCGGTGTCAACCCCCCACACGTCCACCCCCGGGGCACCGAGCTCCTCTTCCTCGTCCAGGGAGCTCTCTACGTGGGCTTCGTCACCACCGCACCGGAGAACCGGCTCTTCGCGCAGACCATATATCCCGGCGAGCTGTTCGTGTTCCCCCGTGGATTGATTCACTTCCAGATCAACGTTTGCAATGAGCCTGCGGTGGCGGTGGCCGGGTTTAACTCGCAGAACCCCGGAGTCTCCCAGGTTGCCAAGGCCGTGTTTGGCTCAAATCCTCCCATCCTGGACGCCGTCATCGAGAGGACGTTCCAGATCGATGATGCTCTCGTGCAGAGGCTCAGGGATCTCGTGAGCATGACGTAGAATATCGTTTCTCCATTGGAATAACTGTTTTGATTAATAACTTAAAAATTCTTGCGAGTTCTCGCGAAATCTGCGAACGGGTCACTCGAGCAGCTTGAAGTTCCTGTGGTTGCCAAGACTGCTCGCGGCCTCTGGCAATACTCGATCAGAAAGCACGAGCGGCTGGTGTACGTGCGGAGCCACCCGGTAGCGTCTGTGGTTGCGCTGACCGGGAACTCGGGCTTTATCTTCATGCGCTCCTCCACAAGATGTCATGATCTAACATCGATTGCAGCGAGAAATTCCTCATCACTGGTTTTCTCTGAAGCAAAAAATACTGGGATCTCATCTTTCTCAAGTTCCACGCATTCAACAAGTTCTACACCGTGTTCCACCAATCCTCTTGTAAGAAGGATTCTCTTGTTGTTGGATTCAAGCCAGCATCCTTGGTCCTGCTTACAAGGCCATCTCGCCAAATACTTGCACAGCATCCCTTTGCAATGCCTTTGTAGCATCAATAAGAACACAAGATGCCCTTCCAAGGCAAATCTTGTAAGAGCCCATGTAGTCCTTGCTCCCGCATCATTCTTCTCTATCCTTTTCCACCATGTGATCAAACTCTTTGACGAAAAGGTAATGGAACTAGGCATGCTGTTGCTTTGACCAGTTGACTGCCCTTGGATAGTTAATGTTACCCAAGGCCCATGGAACCTAATAATCTTTTGTCAAACAAGATAGGAATGAAGAATTTTATTAGGAAAACTGAATTTGCAATGTGTGCAAGAAGTGCAAGAAACTACAATTGAATATAATGCCATAATATTATAATTAACTTTTTTTTTATTTCTTATAAATTTTTCTTTTGCTGTGCATCACTTGATTTGCTGCATTAAATAATTTAATTTTATCAATAATTATAAATATGTTTATAATTTATAAATCAAGATTAACATTTGCATATTAACCATTAGATAGTAGAATAAAACAGAATATTTTAGGAAGTTTTTAGGAAAGTTTATAAATTATAAACATGATTATAAATTATAAATACAAGATTAATCTAAATGAATAACAACTGTTAGATGGTAGAATATCCTAGAATATTTAGGCATATTTTAGGTATATTCACTACCATCCTAGTTGCCCTTAAAAAAACAAAAAAATTCAGAATATGATTGAAAATTTGATATTGTTTAATATATAACTTATGGCAATGAAATGAATAATTTGATTAATTCAATTACCAATTATTGAGAAATTATTATAAATGATATTTAACTAGAAACTCTAGTATGAAGTAAATGAAAGAAGAAACTTGGCAATGGGATAGTGCTTTTGTTTTTGTTCCTTTCTTTCTCTTTTAGATCTAGATTTATATTAGCTTTTTGAAAACTTTGTTATTATTGTACTTAGATTTATTCTTTCTTTGGATCTTCATTACATTCCCTTCTTCTGCCATACTATGCCATCATCAATCAAGGAATATATAAATGTTAATATTGCTTTGTTAAATGATCATCTTGGTGAAGTAACTATTTTTGGTGTATTGCCATCATCCACTTCCATAGAACATGATTACATGACTTATTTTATTCTTAGTGTTTTTCTATTTCCCATTGATGTAGAATGTGATCATAACATTGATTGGAGAGCTATGCTGATTCTTGAAAAATGTTTAAAGATTAAATTTATAGGAAAATGATGTTTATAAGCTTAAATGGAATCTGGATTATGATGAAAAGTTGGATTATTATGAAAATAAATTTGAAGATGAGTTTGAGATTTCACAAGATAGATCTTAATCCTTCAATTTATCATTTGATCTTTTTTCTTAACCTTTTGTTTTTTACCAGCTTTTCCTCCTTATCATGTTCCTAGTGTTTCTTCCTCATCTACAGTGTTTCCTTTTTCTGATATGTTGATCATTTGTGACTCTTATAATTTTCATTCTCAGTTTAGTGTTGAGTTAAGTGTTTTTCTATCTTCCTCACACTAATTTAAATGTAGAGCATATGTATGAAGTTGAGAATCTTACTTTTGTTTCATTGATAAAGTCTTTGATCAATTCTAGGGTTGAGTATTTTTTTATACAAAGGATTGAGTCATTTTGGTTAGAGTTTCGAGTTGAGTGTATATCCCTACTTGTGAGTGCTTTTACTTTACTATTATTGTTGAGGAATTTATATATTACTTTGAGAGTGTGAACATTTTTATTAATTTTTCCATCTTAAGTATTAAGTTGTGTGTTGAGGAGGTTGAATGGTGTGAATTTTTTGTTTATATTGTGGTGGTTGAATTATTTTATGATAGGAAATTCTTTATTTTTCTAAGCTTTGAGCACATATCTTTTTTATATTTTTATTTCTACATTGATAGCTAATGAAAATTCCTCTTCTAATGCTTCTTTATTTACTTTTTCTTTTTCCACAATATTTCTTCCTCAATTTTTTTCATTTTATCCTTTTTACCTCGACACTTCAAACTTTTTATTTTTTGGAGGAGGGGGTAGACAAGATGGATGGGAATCCAATCCCAATGATGGAGTGAGGACGAGTGAATATAATAGTGGGATGAAAATGAATAATATGGATTATAGAGTGAGAATGAGTATAATGAGTCTAAATGGAATATTCAATTTTAACATAGTGAGTCTAAATGAATGTGATATTAAAGTAAGGCTGAACATAAATAATGAAGTGAGGACGATCACAACAAGTTCGAATGGAGCTAATGTTTCAAAACTTTTTTTTTTTTGAAGAATGAATAAGGAGAAGGTGGAGGACAAATGAAATGAATCTAACCTCCTATATACAGTGCTAAACGAGGATGAAAGTCATGAGTTTGAGTTAATATGAGTTTCAAATGTCAACCAAAGTGAAGATGCAAAAGTAAATTTTACTTATGGTTGTGAGTCTAAATTAATGATGGTTTTGGAAAATAGTTGACAATCAAATTTAGAAATGGGATATATTGTTTGCTACAATAGTGCTTTATAAACTATAATGGCTCTTCGGTTTAAAGTTATGACTTCAAGGTTAATTCTAGCATTTGGAAGTTATATATGGAATTACAAAGCCAATAAAAAGCCAAACCCTTGTGAGAGCAAGTGGAGGATTCTATAGTCAATTGACACTTGTGTTATGATTTTAGGTTTTGTTTCAGTTATATATTAATGGTTATATGAGAGCTTCAGATTCTTATGGTAATCAATTATCACCCAATAAAAGCTTTAAGTGTTTCACTTGACTTATTATCATTGTTTTTTCATCTTCTAGAGAGGAGGATGATATAAGGTATATAAATACATATATGTATATACATGTATTACTGTACCTAGGTAATACACTAATTATAATACTATAGCATTTATGACTGAACTTGATCCATCCATTTTTGTATATAAGCAAGGGTCTAAACCCCAATTAAGATATTATTCCCATATTTTGAGCACTCACAATTATAAAATTTTTGAATTTATCTTTGATTGAAATTTAGACTTGTTAATAACATTTATATTATTGATATATATATAGGATTACTTAATATCTCCCTTGTGCTTTTGAAATCTATAAAATTTATATATGTAAATTTAGTAATTTTGCAAACATTATTTAGCTATAATTTGCAAGACTACTTGGTTATACTTTCCAAAGACACATTTATAAGGGATGATATGATACTAACAACTGTAACTTTAATGTTTGTTGCATTTTTTAGTTATATGTAAACCAGTTTAAATTTAAATTTTTAACAATTAAGAATGCTCTTATAACTGTTTATCTTATGTATCTTATATTTGTGAGTGTTTGGGATTTGGGAATAGATATATTAATCCCAAATGGATGGTTTATATATTATATTACTATAATATTATTTATGTAAAATAATATAGATTTAATATGAAAAAGTGATACTGATAAGTTAGGTGGATTATCTATTAGAAAATTATAAACTACTAGTTGAAGCTCTCATAGAACCACTAAAGTATGACAAATGTTAAATGCTCAAATCAACCTCAAATCTATAATTGTGAACTAAAGCAAGGGACTTATAAGGCAATATTGTTGTAACAAATTATAAATTATGTCTTTATGTCTGTCCTATTTTGGCCAACCTCTAAACCATTATTAACTTAAACTCATAACCATGTCATCTTTTAAAACTTGTGTTAACTTAGACTAAAAATTATCATTTGTTTAACATTGTATACTAAAAGGGTTAAACTCACTTTATCCTTTATATCCTCATTATCTCTTCCTCAAAAGGAAAAAAAAAATTGAAGCATTAGTTTCATTTAGATTTGTTATATTTATCCTCACTCCACTATTATATCCATTTGCACTCACTCTATTGGGGTTGGATATTCATTTTTACTCCACAATCTATATCATTTATTGTCACTTTAATACCATTTTAGTTGATGTTACAATTATGCTCCACATCAGTAGGAGAACATTGAGAATAGAAGAAGTTATGTAATCCCATCCCATAGAAGTTGAATAACAACACACTATAAACTAAAGCAATGCCAATATAATCATAACTTATAACACTAAAAGCTCGATCAACATATGACATAGTAGTAAGAATAATATACCAAATGAGGATAATGGGGCAACATCTACAGCCTCAAATGACACACTCCTCAATTTATAATAGTATGGTATGACAAAAGAGGGAAATGAGCAAAATAATAGCTAAAACTCTAGATCTCACAATAAGTTTAAAGGAATAAAATATGAATAATGGAGCCAATCTTAAATAGAATAAAGCACTACCAATGAAGCTTTACCCTATAAATACAATTTGTAAACCTCAATTAATATAAGTGTTTGGGATATATATATAGAATGGATGGATCAAATTCAGTTCCAAATGAATGGTTTATATATTATATAATTATAATTAATATTTTACCTAAATAGGGTAAAGAGAAGTTGAGATACAATTTATTAGAGTTCAAATATAGAGGGAAGGTGAAATTAAGCATTTTTACATTTGAATAGTATTGGGACATTGAGTTTGAATACGTAACCTCATGAAACTTGAATTCCAAAGCTTACATTATAGGGTCATATACATTCAAGGTCAATTAATAATTTTTTATATTATAATTATTGTAACATTGTCACAATAAAATTACTTTAAGTTTTAAATAAATTTATTAACTTAATTTAATTGTGAATACTAATAAAATTATGTACAATTTCTTATATATCATATAAAAATTAAAATTAAAATAAAGCATAATAAATTGCATCAGTCTTGGCCATCATTTTCGTTTCTATTTGTTTTTTCCGTTTTCGAGAGTACGTTACTAAAGAGCAGCTTTTTTCCATCTCATGGTAGCTGGGATGGACCTTCGTCTTCAGCTCCAGGTAAGCTCTTCCGATTTTAAAGCCTCCCGTCGATTTACAGTCTGTCAGATTAGTCAAGTGCTCGGGCCCTCAACGAACCTAAAGAGAGAACTATTGTTCCTGCGAAGGCAAATCGTTCACTCGACCTGCCTCATGATCGAGAGTACTGTTCCAGCGAAAGCAAATCGTTTGTAAGTAGCCATTTAATCCCTGAAAATCTTATAATTTTAATTACTCAATTAGTGATAAAGGATCTAGTCCTAGTTCCAACCAAGTGGTGGGAGGAGCTGCAGTGAAGTGGTGGCTGATGCAGCAAGGAAAGTAGAGAGTTCCAATCTAGATTTTGAGGATAGAGAGATACAAAATTTCCTATGCTAAAGGCTGGCAAGGAGTGATCATACAGCACATTACTCTGTACTGCTGCTTTGGCTTTGCAATATAAAGGCAAAAATCACGATCTTTGAAGCACAAGACCTAGGAAGAATAAAAATATCTGCTCCATTGATCTTCTTGCGAGCATATTTCCCACTGCTGTCCTACCACCGAGTCACCCAGCCGCCCCTGCTCACTAGCACGACCACATTCCGGATTAATAAGGAAAGTGTGTTATTGCTTCCTCAAAGTTTTGGTAAGGATGAATAGCCTTGGTAGCTAGCATTCAAATCTTTTTGATTAATTAATTTGAACATAAGGTTTGATTCAACCTTAACTTGGCAAAAAGAACAAACGGAGTCCAAATGAGGATGCTGCGCTGTTTTCCTTTTCAACCATTTGCTCGCGGCACTGCTCTACCACCAGTGGGAGTGCTCTAGAAAGTGAGTCGTAAGCTTCTGCAGCCCGCACATCGGCGAGCACCCGGACTCCTTCATTAGCCGAAGACGTTTCGAACGCAAGGCATGGATCAAGCCTGTGAACCTGGCACAGCTGGAACATGCCTGCGAAGATGTCGAGCTTTCCTTGTTGTCAGTCACAGTATCTGGAGACTCGAAGACTTCATAAAGCCCGGCCAAGTTCCTCATCCACTCTGCCTTGCTCGACCGTGTAGCTACTTCCACTTCTGAAGGAACTAGTCAAAGTCCTGATGCCATTCGTTCGATAAGATAAAATGCTTGCACGACCCTGGCCGAGAAAAGGAGTCACCAAAGTGTTGTAGTTGACAGCAATGGGAACACTGCCTTGTCCAGCCATCTCCTCCAGGTCCGCAGCATGGACCCGGACTCCTCCATTACCAGACGATGTTTCAAACGATCGAGCCTGTGAGCCTGGCACAGCCTGCCTGCGAGCTTTTTTCCCTTGTCTCCTTGCAAGTCACAGTATTTGGAGAAACTTCCGTCTCTGAAGACTTCAAGTTTCCTGCCTATGATGAAAACAGTCGGTGACGAGAAGATGTCGGCCAAACGTTGCAATACCATGCCAGCTTGATAGCTTGGTGGCGTCCGGAGGTCAGGAGTATCTGTTAGAAGAACTGCACCTCATCCACTCTGCCTTGCTCGAACAGAGTGTGAATCTTAATATCTGGAGAAAGCCTGTGCCGTCCACAACTTTGAAAGCTCCTTCCAGGATGACCGCACTAGAGTGCCATTCGTCTGAGAGAAAAGGTTTCCTTTGCACGACCCTGGCTGAGGAGAGCATTCATCGAGTGTTGTAGGCGACAGAATTAAGAGCACAGCCTTGTCCTGTCATATCCTCCTGGAGGTAGTTTGTATCCTTTGTCAACCTCGTTGTCTCGTGACGACTTTTGGCCGAGGATTCGAAAAGCCATTTCCCTGTAGCCGCCTAAAGCATGCCTGCCGAGCTGGAGTACGCTCAGAAGCGATGCGCTTGAAAATTGTGTAAGCAGGACCAGGCTTTGAAAATGCAGCATTTATCATCCTTCTAAATCAAAGAATCCAAGAGAATCCTTCCTACAAGAGGATCAGTAGATGTGATTGTGCCGCTCCTGTAGAAGGCATTGGACGCTTGGAACTTGAGAAGGATGACATCAATGCTTCTTCTGGAAGAGCTCCCAGAAAAACACCGAACTTGCCGGTCCCTGGTGTACCCAGCGCAACCACAGATGCTACGAGTCGCTGTGCGTCGAGGATTCTGTCGCAGCAGCTCCTCACGTACACCAGTTGTTTTGATATAGTAGGCCAGTAAGCATTCTTGGCAACCGCGACAACTTACCATCAGCGTCTTTGAGAATTCTCCAAGATGCTCGTAGTCTGTGCCAGTGATTGCGCTCGTTCTCGTTCGCAGATTTCACCTTTTGCACAAGAGCATTGTCGATCTGGAACATCCTCTCGGTGACGGTGTCCAAGATGGGTGGGTTCGAGCCTTGGCAACCGGGAAAACTCCGGGGTTCTGCGAGTTATACCCGCCCACCACCGCAGGCTCAGTGTAAACGATGATCTGGAAGTCGGTCATGGAGAGCTCCATTTTCGCCTCCAGGGCCTTCATCGCTTGCAAGATCGCGAATTTCCAGCTCGGATCGACGCGAAGAGCGAGAGAAAGCCAGAAAGAAGGAGAAGATCCACCGATCCACCTCAAAATCCTCCGCCAAGAACGCGACTTTAGAGGCGAAGGAAAGCTGACGCATTGATTTCCATAAAACCATGTCAGCTCATACTACCGAGAAGACTCTCAAAGACCACAAGGGTCAAAACCATGTATGTTACAAGTTGAGAAATCGTTGGAATAGAAAATAGTGGAATAGAAAGTAACTATACGGTTTTGAGAAGTTATTCTGGCTTATGTTAAAAAAATTCTCGTTTGCTTCATTGAGCGTTCGAGTGACAGTGCTTGGAACAGGTTCTCCGAGCGTTGATTGCGTGGAACTTTGGCTCGATTGGAATCGTGAGCTTCTTCGTGGACCTGGCAAGGAAATCAAATATCAGTTCCGGAGTTCTCAAGCTTCATTCTATGGCGATTACCTTTGAGGCCTGAAAGGCCGATCGAACAATGGCATTCTCACTTGCCTGCGTGTGTCTTTCATGTTTACTGGTTCGCTTGGAAGTGTTTGAGAAGTGGCCAAGTCCTTAGAGATCATCTGGATTGTGTGGTGTGAGTATGGTAGTACATAACCAGCAAAAGTTTGCGCACCTCGATGCTGACTTCTACTGGGCTTCGATTGTCTTTAGTCCTTGGTGGTGCTCGTTGATGTTTTCTCTTGAGAGGAAAAGCCTGTACAAAACAAAGTTATCCACAGAATGCGGTGTTGGAAGACGCCAAAGAAAATTACCTTTGGCTGGCTTGTAGCAGCAGATGGAGGTATTACAACCGAGCCCTCTCTAAGAGCGATGTACTGCTCCATCTTCTTGTTGAATTCAATCTCCTTGAGAGCACCTCTTTCCTGTTGGATGGTTTTCAAGGCTTTGAGAAGTTTGAAGTAACGTAGGAGCTACTTACCTCTGTTCTTAGCCTGAATGGTTGTGGACAAGTCACTCTTGGTCGCTTTAGCGGAATTGAGAGTGATGGCGGAGGAGAGGGACAAGCGACGGGAGGTATAGCCTGTTAGCACACAAGTCTTAGATTACACGACGCAATGCAAAGCAGGCACTTCACCTTTTTTATGGTCTTCCGTCTCGTGGTCGTCTCTATACTAATTTTCCTGCGAAACAAAAGAACATGTGTTTTAACGAAGAGAAAAGAGTGAAGTCTCGCGTACCGCCTTCTTCTTCCAGTTTGCTGTGTGTTTTCCTTACGTGTTGCTTTAAAAGAAAAAGCTGGCTTGGTTTCCTGTAAGTTACCAGTGTCTATCCGAGATTTGTCCACGGCCAGTTCTTCCGATTTTTGATCTGCGCAGACAGCACCGAGAACTTCCGAGCAAACTTTGACGGTCTTCTCTTCATCCCCCAGCCTCAGTAGTTTGATCGCAGATTCCAGTATGACCGCCTGCTCGACGACATACTTTGCGGCAGCTTCACTATCCCTGCCCGAGTCGCCTTGCTTTTTCTGTGACACTTGCAACTCCGACTGGGCAGCTTCAACTGCTTTTCGAGCCGGAAGCACAGTCGCTTCGTTTTGAGTCAGAGTTCCTCGATAAGATCCACAGTCTGCTCCGTCTCGAGGGGCGTCTCTCAGTTTTTGGAAAAGCGCCTTCGCTTTGCTGAACGGCTGTTGCTGCGTAGCTTTTCGAGTTCCAAGAACTTTCTTCTTCTGTGGAACAGTTGCCGGAAAATTCCCTGACAAATACCTGTAGACTTGAGGCACTGGAGAGACCTCTCCCGGCTTCTGGAGCTTTCTCACACCCTTTGCTGCTGGAGCTAGCTCTTTCTTGAAGATTTCGTTCGTGGCAACCTCGGCAGGTAATTGTCCAACTGGTTTTACTTGGTTTGGATCCTTGTTCTCTGAGCACTGCTCATACCTTGGCGACTTTGGATCCAACGAAGAACTGTCCTTGATCAAAGATTGTTTCCTGGAAGAAAGATCTCTCCGATTAAGAGGGAAACGAAACAGCACGCTCAAACCTGGATGCATTGTTTGATCCAGTTTGTAGAATCGATTGGACAGTGCTGTTCACAAGATCCTGGCAAGAACAACGGCTGGTCAAGCCCAAAGCCAATATTTCGGGGAAATCCGGCATACCTTGATGTTCTTGGAGGCCAATCCATCGAGGAACCACGCGTCGGCGTTGCCAGAATCTCTGGGATTGATGAAATCGTAGAACTTGGGCGCCTGGAAGCTCTCGTAAAACTCATCCCGGAAGAACGATATCCCGCTGCTCATTCCCAGCTCGAAATCGTCCATTACCCTCCCGCCGCTCACTGAATCCAGCCTTTCTTTCCCAGTCCTAGCCCTAGCCCTTGCCGATGCTCGCTCATCCAGGAATCCAAGATCACCGAGAGGGCGACAAAGCCGCAAAATGCAATAAATTAGGGTTCTACGGGGTCTTTAGTGACCGTTTGGGGAGCATATACCACGAATGTGGGCCGTCCGTGCGCAAGCCGTACATTTTCGTACTCGTCCGTACTACCCCCTCGTACGTGACCGTTTCGCGATTTTAACAGCTCCCTTTCATTCTTGTTTGGCTCGTTGTTGCGCAGTGGCTGCCGGGCTCGCGGTTGGATCGCGGCTGCGTTTTGGAGAACGCCACTTGCTCACAGCCGCCACGAATCCATCCGACATTATAAGACGAACTGCGTCGGCACCACGCTCGTAGCAAACATCAATCTGGAAGAGCCAAAAACGAGAACACGGGAAAAGATCTACCAAGTTAGTGAAAGTTCTCTCGATCAAACCAAGCTCTCTTTCACCTCAACTTTCTCGCGCTGCGTGAATTTTTGTAGCACGTAGGCTTTTGGATCCATGGCACCCGGGGGCCGTCCAATCCCTGTCGTAGAAAAGCAACGAAAACGCATTAACCAATGAGTGGATTCTTCGTCCCGTTACCGATGCGCAACCGAGGGATGTTCTTGTTGTCCTTGAATCTCTCGATGATGTTCCTCATGCTGCGAGAAACGTAGAACATCAGATGATTCGTGAGGTTCGAACGATGTGGAACTTTACCCGTTGTGACCACCCGGACCACCCTTGGGAACCATTTTCATTGCTGCTACGTCCAAGTCCATATCGTCGTGAATCTGGAAAATGGAACGCCATCGTTCTCGAGCAAGTGAAATCAAGAGCAGCTTACCACTAGTATGTTGTCGGGCTTGACTCTGTAGTACAAAGCAAGAGGCGAAACCTGGGGAAAAGATTGGCAAAAGAAGTTCTTTCGCAAAGTGATAGTTTCGGCCATACCGCATCGCCACTTAAGTTCATGTATGTCTGTGGTTTAACGAGCAAAACTGGCACACCTTCGATCATGCCTGTAGCAAGCAAAAAACGAAGAAGGAAAAAAAATAAAATTCTCAGCGCTTGTGTGAAAGAAGGATCCAACCTTTTCCAACGAGCGCTTTGCATTGTATCGTGTTGAGCTTGATGTTTTCCTGAAGAGCCAAGAGATCGATCGCCTCAAAACCAACCTGGAACAAAGCAAAGAACACTCTAAGCGAAGAAAAAAAGCAAAGAGACACACCACAAACACACACATTGTGACGAGTTCCCACAAATTTGGAGCCCGGATTTCCCAGCCCGACAATCATCCACTTGGAGGCCCTCGGGCGCTTGAAAGGCTCCTCATTGTCATCCGGATCATCGCTCTCTTCCTCCTGAGACGACGAAGGCCCTTCTCGCCCACCAGCGTTAGCTCTAGTCACAAACGAAATCCTCCAAGCCAATGCCGGAGGAGCCAACCTGGTGATGAATGCCGGCGCCACTCGAAGAGCTTGCGCAATCCCGGCAGCGCCGCTGGAGCTCCTCGCTACTTGCGGATGGAATCGGCCAACAGCGGCCGCGTAAGAGAGAATCATAGCTCCCGGCCAAGAACCCTAAAATAATTTTAGGGCTCAAACAGAGGAGGAAGAGCAATGGCGACGACGAAAGGTACGCAATCCTCCTGAGAGCGCTGCTAGATCTAAGCTCTCTTTTCTAGAGGCCGGATGGTTCTACTTGGACAGCGGCTCCAATCATCGAGGTCCTTTCAAGATCGATCAGCTGCGTGGTATGTTTCTTTTCCCTCTTGTTCTTCGCGTGTTTAGATGCATCCGCATGGCTATTAAATCTTCGGGAACCTCTTTTTCATCTTCGTGCTGCTTGATTGTTGCGGATTCTTCCAGTCTTGCACTTAAGAATAGTGGTACTGGATGATGTTTTGATACAGACTCTAAGGATTTCATCAATGTTCGCATTGTGGTACATGGGTTTTGTCCCCAGACTTATACTCTGCGGGCGACTTAACTGGAAGCTCGATGGTTTGGGCCGATGGAAGAAGTGAATGGAGCCCTCTCTCGGCCATCCCTGACGTCTACGAGAAAGTTGCTGGAGGAGCCAAGCCAGGGACTGAAAATGGTAGCGTGGATACTAAAACCACTGCTACTACTACGTCGGAAACCACTGCGGAGGACGACGACGACTTTAGAAAGTGGCAAGAGGAGATTCGGAAGGCTGAAGAGGAGGCTGCGATGCTAAAGTCTGGAAAAGCACCGAGAGCATCCAACCCGTTCAAGAAGCGAAAGGAGGCTGACAAAGATCGTCCGGAAGGATTTCCAGAGGGTGAAGAGCGCTTCACTGATGACGATGGAACAATCTACAACTGGGACAAGAGGAACAAAGTCTGGATACCCGAGGTAATTTTCCTTGCTTTCCTGTTTTGGATTTTGTTTATCATTTTGCTGGATCTCGACTTCTTCTACTCAGAACGAGGACGCGCCAGCCAGTGCGAACTATGCAGCTGCAGAGGAGAATGCCACTCAAGGAGAACAAACCATGCCAGCCAGCAACCACGCATCAAAGCAGACCGCACCGCCTCCAGAAGAGAAAGAAAAATCCGTAGAGCACCAGGAGGCTGCAATGCCGACTGGAAAGAAGGTATGCGCTGTTTCTGTTTAAAAGGCAAAACTTTTTTCTCTCTTTTCATAGGAGGCACAACCAGAGCCCGAAAGCTGGTTTGAGCTGAAAGTTAATACCAATGTCTACGTGACCGGGATACCGGAGGATGCTACCGTAGATGAGGTAAATTTTTCAATCGCGTGATAGACGGCTAGCGAAATCGAGTTTTGCAGGTTGTCGAAGTTTTCTCCAAATGCGGGCTTATTAAAGAGGTCAGTCTTGCGGTCGATGCTGCATCAGGTTCTCACTTGCTGGTTTGGTTTCCAGGATTTGGAGACGAAGAAGCCTCGTGTTAAACTTTATGTCGACAAGGCTACGGGCATGCAGAAGGGGGATGGACTCGTTACATACTTGAAGGTAAATCTATGAACATATCTCTTGTGCCTCTTAAAATATCATCTCTGCCTTAACGAAAAGGAACCATCAGTAGAGCTAGCTATCAAAATCCTGGACGGCACTCCACTGCGACCCGGGGGAACAAAGCTCATGACTGTGTCATTGGCGCAGTTTCAACAAAAAGGTACGAAGCATTTCTCCCGTCACCATAAAACGTACCTTTGCTGTTATTTGCAGGCGAGGTTTTCGTCAAGAAACAGACCAACAGGAACAAGAAGAAAAAGATGAAGCAATTGGAGGAGAAAGCTCTGGGCTGGGGTCAGCTTTTCGTTTGCACTGTTTTAAAAGTTGTTTGACGCTTACTTTCTTTTCATGCAGCTGGCTCGGATGCAAAGAAAGCACGGCCCATCAGCGTGGTGCTCAAGAACATGTTCTTACCGAAAGAAATCACGGTACTTTCCATAGATTTGGAGAAAAAGCTCTCACGCGCTTCCTTCCCATGCTTTCAGGATGAACCAACTTTACTTTCCGAGCTGGAAACGGACGTAGGCATCGAGTGCTCGAAAATCGGCACGGTGGAAAAGGTCCGTATCTTCGAGAGGCATCCGGAGGGAGTAATCGTGGTGAAGTTCAAGAACCGGGAGGAAGGTCTCAGTTGCATCAAGCTGATGGACGGTCGCTGGTAAGAAAAAGAAAACCTTTCGTTTTCTCGCTTTGAATTCTTTCTTTTCCAACTCAAAAACTAAACTTCTCCCTCGCAGGTTTGGAGGTAGACAGATCGAAGCAGCCGAAGACGCTGGATTGGTGGATTACGCGGCGGTGGTGGATCTGGCCGAGGAGGCCGAACGGCTCGAAAAATTTGGAGCTGAGCTAGAGGCCGGACTTTAAGAGCTGGGATGGATATGGATCGATCAAACAGCGATGGTATAATAGCTGCCTTCACAGTTTTTGCGGAAGAATGTCACACAAAACTGTGTTGTTTTTGTCACCAGAAGTTAATGTGGTGGATCTTCCTGGGATCGCGACTGTCTTCAATACATAGATGATCTTGTCAAGCGTAAGATCCACTTCAATGAGCCCAAGAGTCAATAGTAGGAAGATCACAACCACTGGTATTTAATCGTTTTGTTTACCCGGTAACGTTCTTATTCCTGGGATCGACGATCGCAATCGTGCAACGTGGATTTAGTGTCGCGTCGCGCCCGTGGCCGCTGGATGCTCTGTTGTTGTTGGTTTAATTGGAACCGGCCGATGCGGACGATCCGGCGGCTGCGAAGCCCTCCCTCCAGCGCTCGATGTTCTCTCTCCACGACCGGGTGAGAGAGAGGCGGGATTAAAACTTTGGTACCGCATCAGATCTCTACAGCTCCTAGGGTTTGTGGATTTGTGGATTTGTGAAGCGCGCCAGCTGAGCGGCTATGGCGCCGATCGATATCAGGCAAGCCGCGGGCGCGATGGTCGGTCTGGGTGCTCGCGATGGCCGCATTGAGCTGAGATCACCAGTGCGATCGAGGTGAAATTTCTCTGGGGATGTTCTAGGGCGTGGAGAATCCAGGCGCTCGTCATTGCATGGGAGAATGTCGCTTTTTCGCAGATTTTTCTACCGGAGGCCCCCCGATGGGCTCCTGGAGATATCCGAGAGGGTTTTCGGTAAGCGCTCGTCCTTGATCCATTTCAATCTCTAGCGCATTCATCCATTCTTTCTTGTGCTTCTGTGGATCCAGTCTTTGACTCGTGCTTCTCCACCGACGTCTTCGAGGAGGAGACTTACAAGCTCTATTTGCGCCAGATCGCTATGCAAATCCACGAGCAGTTCCCCGACTCGTCCTTCCTCGTCTTTAACTTTCGCGAGGGCGAGAGGAAGAGCCAGCTGACCGAGATGCTATCGCAGTACGAGATGACCGTGATGGACTATCCACGCCAGTACGAGGGCTGCCCGATTCTTCCCATGGAGATGATCCACCACTTCTTGCGATCCAGCGATAGCTGGCTCTCGCTCGAGGGGCAGCAAAACATCGTCTTGATGCACTGCGAGAGGGGGGGATGGCCGCTGCTGGCGTTCATTCTCGCCAGCTTTCTCATCTACAGGAAGATGTACACGGGCGAATTCAAGACGCTCGATATGCTCCACCGCGAGGCTCCAAAGGGATTGATGCAGCTGCTCACACCTCTCAACCCGATGCCATCACAGCTAAGATATCTCCAGTACGTTGCTAGGAGGAACAACTCTCCGGAGTGGCCACCCCCGGATCGCTCGCTCAGCCTCGACTGCCTCATTCTCAGGGTGGTGCCTACTTTCGACGCCGACGGTGGATGCCGGCCCCTCGTCCGGATTTATGGAAGAGATCCCCGATCAAAGGCAGGGAACAGGACGACGAGAATGCTCTTTGCCTTGGGAAAGAAGAACAAGTCTGTCCGACACTATCGACAGGTAAGTTTGTGAACTTGCTGTTTCTTGTTCTTGCTTTGATCTCTTGTGTAACGCTCTCTTTTGTGTTCCAGACAGATTGTGATGTGGTCAAGATCGACGTACAGTGTGCTGTGCAAGGGGACGTGGTTCTCGAGTGCATCCACTTGGACTTGGAGTCGGACCGGGAGGAGATGATGTTCCGTGTCATGTTTAACACCGCTTTCATCCGCTCCAACATCCTGATGCTCAACCGGGACGACATTGACATACTTTGGAACGGGAAGGAGCGCTTCTCCAAGGACTTTCGAGCAGAGGTAAGCAAGCTCAACCAATCGTGGCAAAATTGATCTCTTCTTTGTTAGGTGCTTTTTGGCGAGACGGATGGATTTTCGTCCCCTGTGGCTCCTGTGCCGTCGCTGATAGAAGATAACGGTGGCTTGCCAATGGAAGCTTTTGCCAAGGTCCAGGAGCTCTTCAGTAGCGGGGACTGGCTAGACGGTGGTGGAGATGCGGCATTGAAGTTTCTCCAGCAGCTGACCACGGTTGGCAATGATAGGAGGTTGACAATGGATCGAGCAGCACTAACAACGGCGGACAACGAGTGGACAATTATACCGAGCACCACCGCCACCTCCTTACCCCTAACCGACGACGATCACAACGGGACGAGTCCAACGTCATCGTCCAACTCTAGCTTCGCACCAGGTACTCCTTCGCCACCTCCTCCCCCGCCACTTCCATCACCTCCGAGGTTGGCCATTTCGCGTTCTCCACCTCCTGCTCCACCACCACCAGTTTCTGTTACTGGTCGTCCCCCTCCTCCGCCACCTCCACCACCTCCGTTCAAGCTTCCAAGTTCTACTGCTGGAGCTACTGCAAAGCCACAACCGCCACCGCCACCGCCACCTCCACCTCCTCCACCGTTTCCTCGAGGGAATTTAGGTGCCCCACCTCCGCCTCCACCACCGTTGCCTCGAGGGAATTCAGCTGCACCACCACCTCCGCCTCCTCCACCGTTGCCTCGATGGAATTCAGCTGCACCACCTCCGCCTCCTCCACCACTGCCTCGAGGAAATTCATCTGCACCGCCGCCTCCGCCTCCCCCACCTCCTCCGTTGCCTCGAGGAAATTCGGCTGCACCACCACCACCACCACCGCCTCCACCACTCCCTCGTGGCAATGCCGCTCCTCCACCGCCACGTCCAGTCCCTACTGCCCCTCCTCCACCTCCTCTTCCACAAGCTGCAAGGCCTCTAGCTTCATCAAGCTCACCACCGCCGCCGCCGCCTTTACCGGGAATGCGAGGCACTCCTCCGCCTCCACCTCCGCCTTTGAAAGGACCGCCTCCACCTCCGCCTCCTCCTCTGGGGACGAAGTCACCATTGCCTGGTGCACCACCTCCTCCGCCACCTGCATTGGGGAGAGGACGAGGTAGTAGTCCTTTGACACCTTCGCCTCCTGGTGGTCGAGGCCGAGGACAGAATACTCTAGAATCTGCTACGCCGAAGAAGACCTCTCTGAAGCCATACCACTGGGTAAAGGTTACACGGGCTATGCAGGGCAGTCTATGGGCGGAGCAGAAGCAGTCAAGGTATGTCTTGGCTCTTTTTTATTCACGTGCTCACATGTTTTTGTGCGTGGTAGGCAACCTGAATTTGACATGAACGAGCTAGAGAACCTTTTCTCGAACGCTGTTCCAAATGCTGCTGTGGGTGGTGAGAGAGCGGGTGGTCGTCGTGCATCTCTAGTTCCCAAGCAGGAAAAAGTGCTCCTGGTAAGCTACCTTTCGTAGTAGAGGCGGAGGTCTCACTCTGTTTTATGCAGATTGATCTTAGACGATCGTATAATTGCGAGATAATGCTGACAAAAGTGAAGATGCCACTGCCGGAAGTTGTTGTAAGTTGCTCTCTACATTATGCAATGTGGTTTTTACTTCCAACTCTCAGAAAGCAATACTAGCGTTGGATGGGACGGTACTGGATGTTGATCAGGTTGATAATCTGATCAAGTTTTGTCCAACGAAGGAGGAGATGGAAACGCTCAAGGTTTTATTTCCAGACATGTTCTTGACATCTAGCTTACTCGCTTGTCATTTTTCAGAACTACACGGGCGATAAAGAATGTCTGGGCAAATGTGAGCAGGTTTGTCCCGCTTTGTCCGCCACAGCATCGTTTATTGAGCAACATGTTTGTTTTTGCAGTATTTTCTGGAAATGATGAAAGTTCCTCGGGTGGAGTCCAAATTGAGGGTTTTTTCTTTTAAACTTCAGTTCACGTCTCAGGTTTGGTCAGCATATATTTTGTCCACGCTTTCAAACATTGATCTTAGGTGCTAGATTTACGGGAAAATCTGGTAGTAGTCAATGAAGCTTCAGCAGAGGTAATCTCCCACTGTTTTTGTAAGTAGCCTGAAGCCGGATTTTTGCAGGTGAAAGAGTCTGCTAAGCTTAAAAGAGTAATGCAAACGGTTCTATCCTTGGGAAATGCGCTAAACCAAGGAACTGCTAGAGGTAAGGCCTGTGCTGGGGAACTTGAGCTAACTATATGTTGAGCTAACATTCCAGGGGCGGCGATTGGATTCAGGCTCGATAGTCTACTTAAGCTGACAGAGACTCGAGCTCGTAATTCTAAAACTACGTTATTACACTATTTGTGTAAAGTAAGTACCATGCAACTGCGTGTTTTTGGCTTTGCTTACACTTGATGTCGGTGGCAGATTGTATCTGAGAAAATGCCCGAAATACTTGATTTTGACAAGGAATTGCTTCACCTTGAAGCAGCCACCAAGGTTTCTATCTTTTTTCACTTCAATGTATTTGTCTTGGTTTTCTGACGTGTGTGGCAGATTCAATTGAAAGCCCTTGCAGAAGAAATGCAAGCCGTAAGCAAAGGCCTGGAAAAGGTTGAGCAGGAATTGACAGCATCTGAAAACGATGGAGCCGTGTCCGATGGGTTTCGGAAGGTGATACTGATTATGATCTCTGTCTTGCAAGCATTGTGCTAATAATGTTTTCTTTGCACACACAGAGCTTGAAGAGTTTCCTTGATACAGCGGAGGCGGACGTGAGAACACTGGCGTCGTTGTACTCTGAAGTGGTAAGAGATGAGCAAGTTTGTTGAAGTGATAAGCAAGCTTCACTGTTGTGCAGGGCCGGAATGCTGATTCCTTGGCACGCTACTTCAACGAAGACCCCGCTCGATGTCCATTTGAGCAAGGTACTTAGCATTTGGTATATAGCGCCTGACTTGAGTTCTCTTGGTTTTTGGTGCAGCGGTGTCGATCATTTTTAATTTCATCGTGATGTTCAAGCGTGCATTGGAAGAGAATAGCAAGCAAGCGGAGATGGACAGGAAGAAAGCCGAGAAGGAGGAGAAAGACAAGATTCTCCCGCTGAGAAGGGAGCTGGATGGGCTACTCTCGCCCCGGCGAAGCAGGGCGGCGTGACCATTTAAGTTTGGAGATTTGATCGATCGAGAGAGAGAGAGAGAGCGCTTTGTTGTTTGTACATTGATTCTTCCGGATAAATTTCACAAGAAACAAAATACTTCAAGAAATTGAAAATGTGGAAAAGAATTTTTCGCAAAACCTCATGGGTCGGAATATGACTTATACTTCGAGACACACAGACGGGTCATCAGATGCATACTCTACAACCCAGGAAGTAATAGCAGCGAAATCGCCGCACTGTTTAAATAAAAGACTTTCAATTGCGGTTGGGCATGTGGGATAATTGAGCTTTGCCCTAGGCCTAGTTGAGTTTAGCGCAGATTAGAGCAAGCATAACTCCCCTCCGGTTTCCGGTTTGAGGTGGCCTTGGCCTTGAGAATCATCCTCAGAACGTGAAAGAGATTGTTCGTGAAGCCCCCAAACTCTGGCTTGGGCCGATAGACGGGCAGCTTCTCGCGTTCATGGTGTGTGCCGTCTCGTGTCCAAACTGCGGCACCCGAGGTGGCAACGTTTTTAAAAGAAAAAGAGAGCGCGAAACAAGGTGTATCAGGGTTTGCTCCAAGCCAGAAGAGGAAGCTCGAAAGAATGGTGAGGGAAGCGCATGGTAAGGAGGCTATCTGGCCCCAAACATTTGGCAGAATAGAGAGTGGCGAAATTTTAGACCTTCTGCGATTGAACATGTGAGGTTTTTTCAAGTGAATAGCGACCTAGGTCAGCTGCTCGTCCCTCTGCCAAATGAACATCCTCGAGTCACTGATGTGAATGAGCACAAAACTCCTGCGAAGCGCAGTGATCGTGGCCTTGCCAGGAACATGATGATTGAAATAAACCATTGTTTTCGCTTGCTTGTTGTTTGTAAGACGGGGTGTGAATTATAGTTTGTGTGATACTTCAATGCTTTCTTTTTACAGGAAAGAAATGGGCTTGGATTGACTGCAACCGTGAAGGATGCTTGCAAGATCGTCGTCATGTGTGTTCTTCTTTAAATCAAGCATTCGCATCGAGATTTCGTTTTAAGAGAATCATGAGAACCTGAAAAGGAAGCGATTCTTGAAACTTCTGCAGGCGCACTGCTCGAATGCACTTGCATCAAGAATCGCTTCATTCATTCTAATTGGAAACGGCCACAAACCGATTGGAGCGATTATCATGAGGACCCAAGAGAAGAGGAGAAAAGGAATCTAAGTGATCTATTCCAACATTGCAAAGAATTTACAGAGGCAGCCCAAGATCCCCATCATGCTATGCCGTCTTGGCCGTTTGGGAGGTTGGCTGCTTTGGCTCGCCCATAGCCGCTACCAGCTATGAATGGGGATGGCTGGGTAGATCATCGTGTCCTGGAACTTCATGATCCTGGTGCTCGCGAACCACAAGGAGCTGGCCAGAGCGAAGACCCTCTTCGATGCCATGCCGGAGAGAACCGCCTACTCGTGGAACATCATGATCTAAGGGTACGTCGACAACTCGCGAGTAAAGGATGCTGAAATGGATCAACTTCCCCTCGTGGAGAGCTGCTAGAGTCGCGCAGGCATCGAGAGCGCTGGATAGAGATGCGTGGTCCAGCGGCACCGCTTCCAGGTCCATGACTTTGAACAGGTTGAGAGCATGTCACACAATTAGTCCCAAAAGCATAGCTAGAATAAGCAAGCACTACTGGCTTACCTTGTGTGTGGGAAGCCCGGCGGGAAGGGGGAGGAGAGAGCTAAATGAGAGTTACTGGCAAAAGGGAAACAGAGTGAGAGAGCCCTGGGGCTGGCCTGGGCATATTCCGGGGAATGAGCTTTCTCGGTTTCATTGCTTCAGGCCACGGGCGGCTCTATTCTTTTAGAGTCTGTGAAAACGAGAATTGGAGCTGCGTCACTTAATAGTGAAATGAAAGCGGGCCGCCAAGGAGTTTTGAATCGTTGATCGTTGCAAGATATTCCATGGGACCTTCGAATCGGAGTTTCGCCTCTCTTTAACGGCGTTTAAGACCTGGGCATCGGAGTGGCAATCGCTCCCGCCAAGATCTCGTCCCTGTTAATCCAGGGGCTGATCGGAAACTCGAGAGAATTTGGGAGGTTTCTCTTGGAGAAGTGCGATCGGTCTCCATGCCAGCGCTGGATTGGCAAGATGCCCCAAACTTGCCCAGAGAGGGAATCTAGACCGATTGGCAGGAACGGTTTCTGGAGGCATCTAAAACTATGAAAATGTATGCAATGTGTCGCAAAACTAATATATCAAGAGATGTTTTTGGAAGGATTCCAAATCAAGATCTAAACTCTCGTGCAACAACGGTGTCTGGTGTCTGCATATGCCCATCCCCGGTATCATCTTTGAATAATTGGCGATGGTAGAAGACCCCGCTCCACGAACTTTGGGAAGGGCGCAAGCGTGGGCTCATAGCATCTCATTGTCCTCCATATATTTTACAAGTTTTGAGATCGAAATTTGGACAAGCTATCGAGATGAGAAACGACGTGATGGGATGCTTTCACAACGTCTTATACCTCGATTAGTGCCTCAGAAAGCGAGAAGCAACTGCGGCTGTTCATGGGCTCGTCAAGGTGACCGAGCGATCCGGAGCGTTTTCTTCCTCTTGGTCCAGGCGCCTTCAAAAGAGCCTTCGCTGATCAAGAGCAGCGGTCCTGGAGAAATGGAGACGGTGGCATCGAGCTCAGAAATCTGTGGCACCTTGTCACTCAGCTCTGTAGCAGAGCATGGGGTGACCAGGCGGCGGAGGTTCGAGGAGGCTGGCCCTTACCGATTCATGGCAAATTTTTTGGAAAAGGATATCCGTTCGGACATCATACCACTCGACTGAATTTCCAGGTCTGTAGCTCCATGTATGCTTGGTTTGCAAATGCCGGGCGAAGCTAGCTACCACGCACATTTTTGGTACTGATCGTCGTTCTGCAGAGCCCACTGCAGAGTTCGTTCCATCCAGATTGATTGCCGGTCCTGGTTTGAAGCGGTTCAGAGGATCATATTGAGTCAAGAGCATCTGCCATATGTGATCATCTAAGGTTTGTTTATTTTGCAAAGTTCTTCGAAGTTTTCAAGAGTGTGCACTCACTAGTACCTTGTCCTGGTCAACCCTGTGAGTGCCAAACCAGTTACCTTGTTTACAAAGTGAAGTACTTGGTATGGTCTTGGCGAGCAAAAAGTGACAAACATGGTTAATATCATTACCCTTACACTATATCCTTAATAAACCATTATATAGTTGAAATAAAGTTAAATATACTTTATTGTACTTTAATTTAGCCACAATATTGTATTCAGTGATGCATTTGGCCTTCCTTGGTCACTTTAAATCGGTTAAAGAATAAAGTTATGACTAAGCTAGAACATGCTTGGAGGGTTAAAACCCATCTTGCTTCACAAACAAAAATATAATAAAGCATGACTACATTCTTAGATTGGGAGATCACGATAGGACACATAACACTTTATTGATCTTGGCAAGTATGAAATATGTTTTAGAACAATGTCTTTTGAATTATATGGCAAGTTATAGGAACTAACAATCTTATTGAAGTAGAATGTACATGTTAAGAGACACAATAATGACTGCATCTTTTATTTTATGATATTCAACTTTCATATAAACTAAATGTAATCTAGGATCCACTACCAAATGAGCTACGTCACAACCAAAATAAATAATGGAAAGCACTATCCATACTCTCATAGATCTAATATTAATATAAAGTTGGTGATAAAATTTGAATTCCACTACTTAAAATTGGAATACAACCTCAAAGGACAAATAAATTTTATAAAATTCAAAATTAAGCTAGGTGGAGAATGGCTATCTGCAATTTCTCAAGGGCTGTTTTAGTTATTGGAGTTGCCATATGTAGTGCTATTGCAATATAGTTTGCAAATGGGATGCTTTTTACATTTGCTAGTATACATTGCATTGATAAGTTCAAATGTAGAAGGTATTGTTCATTCAAGTTTAGCCCAATATGATAGACTGAAAAATGCTTGATTCTGGATTATTGCTATATACTACTAAAAAAAAAAAGAAATATTTAGCATAGAAAATATCATAAAAATTTAGAACTAAATACTTATGGCAAAGTAGCACCTTCATCACTGTATAGAAACAGTCTAAGCAAGAGTTTAATATATTTATTGCTTAATATTTTGACTATGTTATAAAAACAATAAATGTATTAAAGAAATAGAAAGCATATATGTATTGAGATGATCTATAGAGGTTCAAATATAAAGGGAAAAATTCTATAAATACTTTTCAATCAGTTAAAGGTTTTAAGATACTTAGGGTTAAGTGTCATTTAGTTTGAGTAGTATTGGATTAGAGTTTATATGCATATTTTTACCCAAACTCATGCTTTATCAGTTGAAACAAATTAGCTGGAACATGAAATTTTTTTAAATATTCACTATTTTGAAATGCTCAAACTTCATGGATGTTCTAAATTGTAATTAAATGTGCAACATTTGGCATATAAAAGCTGCAAAACACAACTCTTCTAAGAGCCTCAATCTCTTGACACTTTACCCTAAACTGCTCTTAATGCACTTTTATTTATAGGCCTTTTTCTTTTATATTTGAACCTTAACAGATTTCTTTCGAGTCATTCTCATAATTTACCATTTATCAGACGCATCTAAAATGTCAATATCATCCATTGCCTTGAATAACTACTTATAAAATCATATCATTTTTATAAAGCTGTAGAGATGTTTAATGTGCAAGAAGAAGAAAACCAAAATTTAGAAAGATTTAAATGTATATTTTATACTTATTTTTGTGTTGAGATGTTATGGATAAAAAGGTTAACTTAGGAGGCCCATATTCTATTTATATCCCTCTTCACATTGTTAGCCTTTAGTGCATGATATCTTCTAATCCATTTTGGTCTACTAAATTTGTGAATAGCATATGAATAGAAGACATTTACAATACATGATGAGAGCAAGGCATGAGATAGTAACATAAAAAAGTTTGAAAACCATATCAAGTACTCACAATCCATATAGCATAGTGCATAATACACTTTATTGGTATATATCTACCTCTGAATCTTAAACAAATGCTTTTATGTGAACTTTATTAAGTTCTATATAACTAAAATGTTACAAATTTGATGCTGGCTAAAATGGTATCCTACTATTTGACAGTT